TCGAAACATGACTCTCCTGTACACCCCCAATTTCCAAAGTTATTCCTTGCGCTTGACTTCTCATGTAACTTATGGGCCCCTTGCCAAGTGATCTATTCGGGTATCAGACGCAATACTTATTATCGTTGCTATGAACCCTTCACCTTCTGATAGACATTGAACGCTTGCCTATCGGTTTGAAACCTCATGGTACCTTCTTACTTTGCTCTCGACATCTTCTTAAGTTTCAATTCGAGAGATACTTATGCTTCTTCCCCTGGGTTAACCTTCTGATGCTCGATCTTGTTAGAATCCGTCCTTATAGGGTTCTCCCTTCTCACCCTTTCGTAAGTACGGTGAAGATCCTGAAGGAAGGACGACAAGCTTCATCATGATGACCTAAAGCAGAGAAATTAAGACATCAATGTATTGGATCAACCTCTTCGAGAAGAGTAACGAAGACCTAGAACCCTCGCTAGAATTTCTTAACCAGGACTTTCCCCCTTAACCCCCGCTTAAATCTCGGGACGAGATTTCTTGTAGTGGAGGAGAATTGTGACGCCCGGCTAATTAAGCTACAGTGATCCTCTGCTAGTGATGCCATGTCATCCCGATTACAGTTGCTAAATGTCCGTTAGTTCAACCGCGTCAAATTCAAATTTAAAATTAATGTCGATAATAAAAGTTTTCGGAAATGGAAACAAAAATGTTCGGTGGTTGCCAAATATTATAAGGGTAATTATGGTGCAGCAAACACATTTTTATAAAATGTCTGAATAATTTAAAGTGAATTAAAACAGAAAAGAAAATAAGAAATCCCCCTGGCAAACTGGGCCAGAAGGCCCAGATGGGCGACCCACTTGGCCCAGCCGCCCCCTACTCTCTCCATATCCCCCCAGCGGTGAGGCCCCGAACCGCCACCGACACTTCCCCCCTCGCCCCAAAAAATATCTCCCCCTCTCCCCCGACTGGATCGGGATCGAGGGAGGAGGCCCTCGTCGCCCGCCGCCGTCAGGAGCTCGCCGCCCC